CAAGTTTAGAATACGTTAGAAATTCATTTGCATAGAGTTCTCTCTTGGTGGTGGTGTAGTTCAGGCACTAACTCAGTTCGTCAGAGTGGTTTCTGCGGTGCTCGGAAGCTATTGGTTTTACCGTTGTATTCTGGGAAACAGGCGCTCGTTTTAAACCTCAAGCACGGACGGTGAGGGGGTGAATCTGTTTTAAGGAAACTATGTGTAACACAGGCTTCGGGTTAAAATTCTATGTTTTAGTTGTTTAATTCATGCAATTTTTCGTATTAAATTTACAGTTCATGCTTCATAAATTTATGATATATTGTTCGTATGCTTCATGAATTTTAAATTCTATTGGAACAAAAGTTATTTGTTGGAAATAAAACTTTCAATGATCTGGTGAAAATTCGATATACGGTTGTTTGAATTTTGTTGATTTGCATAGTTGTAAAATTGAAAGATTTTGTCAAAAAGACCTACACTGTCTAAGAAGAGCTTAGGATTTAAGCGGTCCGATTATGAGTCCCCTCCTCATCTGGGAGTCTTTTAATTGCGCATTATTCAAATTGACGAAACAAAAGACAACATTTCCTGATTTTATCCACATACACTGAATTTCCTATACTTACTGCGGTAGTCGTCCTATGTGACATTCTGCATGGTGGTTTGTCATTTGGTACATTAATGTAGTAGTTTTTTATTACCTCAAACATCAAATCACTAATCGTCACATATATACCAATTAGGATGACTAAGATAGAAAGTGACTGTAAATAATATTATTCATTATTTAAATACTTTAATATGGAACCTCAACAAAATCTAGAATTTATGAAACTCAACTTATTTATTTATGGAATGTTAATCATCGAAAACATAAGAGAGAAAAAAAAAACCGCATTATAGTTGGGATAAATATTTTGAGAATCCTTGAAAAAAATATCAACTTACCAAAATCGGAGATTATATTCGTCGCAAGTTTTTTATTCAATTGTTAATTCGTTTGTCTTTAATTACTGTTGAATCCAATTAGAATCATTTACGCCTATATAAACAGAGCGAACGACTTTCACGTTTCTTCACTTTCTTGGATACAGAAATATTCTTAGAGACTAAAAAATCGTTCATGGTGATGATCACGGCTTATCATGGATAACAAAAATTATCCTCTTTCTATAATTAATAATCATACGTCTGTGATCAATAAGTCCAATATTAAAATCTCCCGCGAAGTCAAGGAGGAGGCTTAATTAATCTCTACTTCAATCCTAATTAAAATCTTTAGCAAGAAGAGAGACAAAATACTTGTTCCATATTCTAGAGGAGTGTGTTGAAAGTGGCTTTTAATGGTATGGTGGTGGTGGATTAGGTTGTGGATGATGGTGCTATAAGCTGGTGGAGGATAATAATATTTTGGCAGAATATTTGGGAGGCTTGGTAGGTTAGTGGTATAGATTCTCCATGGTCAGCGAGAGAATCTTATAAAGTTTTTAAAAATTTTCTAGTTAGGCTTTCTAGATTGAGAGTTTATTGTTATTTTGGTTAAAATGGATTTTAAAAGTGAGAATCTTTGATATTCAAGATAATGGGGATTTGCAGAATTAACTAGTAATTAAAATCCATCTCATATTTTTCTCCTTGCATGACTTTAGCTTGTACGGGATAATATAACATCAAATGCTACAACATTTTTCATTGGAAGAAAAAATACCATTAACCAGAAACATCAGTTGGTTAGATCCTGCTAAGTTCCTCAGCCCACCTTCAAAATATTTAGTTAAATTCTGTAAATAACTCATCTTCAAATAGCTCATATCTGCACCTCTCTGCTCAGAATTTGACTTGCTAGTTCCTCACAGAATACAAAAGGGAAGCATATGTCTATGTTACAAATGTTCCCTAGCTATCTGGACACATAATTTGGCAAATTTATTATAAATTTCAACATTTGAGAAGGGGGGATTTAGAATGGTCCATTTGAAAGCTTGGTCTTCCTAGGGTAAACTCAAGATTCAGTAACATATCAGAAGAAGGCAAGGAGCTATTACAGCTATCTAAGTTCTCATTCTTTGCAGATGTGTTGCGGTTTGCCTCGAGTCCGTCAACCTGTTGATTAATATGAAAACACATTGTTAATTTACATGTTAAATGAGATCCTATTGTAATAGCTTATACTCTTGGACAAGATGGTTTAACCAAGAAAAAAGTACGGTATGCACCAAGATGCTTGGTCGAACACTTGCATAGACATAGATCAATTACGTAAACAAAAAAAAAAAAAAAAAAAAAAGAAGATAACTCTGAATGAAATAGATCGAAAATTATATGGGCATTTGGACGTGATTTACTAATTTATTTATTTTTTAGAAGACTCCCCTTGTACTCATGTAAGGGATTTGATATTGATCCCTACCTTATAAGTTGACCGAACAAATTACAACAAATCTAAAGGGTAATATGCCAGTACTATATTTTGATGCATTGAAAGCACATAAAGCATAACAAGTAAAAAACTTATCCTTTAAATTCGTATCAATAGAATGCTTTAACAAGACAATATATAAGCAAAAATTCTAAATTCAAGTTTCATCATCGTCTCTATTGATGAAAATTATATCCACATCCATGTATCTATACCAAACACTTTTCTATTGTAGACATTACTGCTTCTTTAGATCGCCATGGTTTAGGCATATATGCAAAGTATATTCTTCTAGCTTATGCTTATACTATTATTTTCTCCATTATTAATAAAACATGTCACATATCATGATTTAAAAAAAATAATAATAAATAAATAAATCTTCTAAGTTTAACAAATATTGTTGGTTTAAAATAAGAAACTTTTAGCTATTGGTAGTTTTCGATGTTTCTGTTCTCGATGGTATAATCCTTAGCCGTCCACGAATGAAGTCAACAGAACCAGCCAACGTCTACTGATATTCGATAGGATAGGGACCCCTACATTACACCAAATGGCACCCTAATCAAGCATTGTTGAGATTTGAGCCTACTATTTGACTTTTTTAAGGGCCTTCAGATTATTATCTTCAAACAGACTGTTAATTAGACATTTTAAAATTAAGAATTATATACTACACATCTTTTGACTTTTTTGTTTTCCAATAAATGAATATTAGTTTTCATTTTTTTTAGCATTATATGTGAAATGTTTAGGATTTCAGACGGTACTATTCAATATAAAGAATTTTTTTTTATCATTTTCTTCTATTTCTATTTGGAACGAATTAATAAACATATTGATACATAAAAGGGCAAATCCCTTTGTACGTTGGTAGCGCTTGTATGGTTGCCTTTCTTTTTATCTTATTCCGCCAAGTCTCGGTGAAAAGAAGCCACCTCCTATTTCCCATGTACATATTTTCCCTGTACACTAAGCATGCCTCACATAAAAAATGAATACGTCATCTATAATAATGTGAAATGAATTTATCAAATTTTTCCTCAAGACTTTTTCCAATTTGTGATGATGGAAGATGGAGTGCATGCACAGTTTGACAAATAGAGACATGAAGCTGCAGAAAATGCACTCACTTCTCAGCACTTTTGATAATATCAGCCTTTTCACGAGATAGGCCTTCAACTTCTATCCCATTCGACCACTGTTTCAGTCCCATATCTGTCTGTACTTCGCCTGCATTTGTAATCATCAAATCAAATGAATTTACTTTTTTCAAGGAGTTAATTACCGAACAGAAACGAAGAAAATAATGGAAAATGGGTCCTTGAAATTAACATATACCTGTTCCTTTACCAGTGCTCTTCACTGTTCTATACATCTGCATGGAAGCACCCATAAGAAAAGACTGTTAAACAAAAGTCCAAGATTATCCCTATAAATGATGCCACTTTGTCCTAACCCCACTGTACTACTCAACTCCCCACTTCACTCAAGATAAAGGAATTTTCACTTATTATCATATGATTATTTTACACCTCAAAATAAGTAGCCAATCAGAATACGAATGAAAGAATTTTTACTCAGTGATACTATCTGAAAAATGAATTGAAAAACAAGTGATTAAATTGTGCATATACTTTTAGAAAGATATTATGGAACAGAATAAACCCACCTGCAAGTGACTCTTCACATGAGCTAGGGTTAGATCCTTCACATTCATCAACTCAAGTACTGATTTTGGTGTTGCTCCTGTAACATTCGCAGAAGAACAAAATACCCATTTCCCCATAATAACTTTCTTATCCATTAAAGCGTTAAAAGCAAAATATGTAAAATGTAAATATTGTACAGGATATAAGTGAAAATACTTGAAATTAAGCTCATATTATTTAGACATACTTTCATGGCCGCCAAGGAGCTGAACTGCGTGAACGAAATGAGCGTGAAGAGTTGAAGTCCATCTCATTCTAGGAGCTCTGACACTTCTTCTAACTCCATTAATCATTCTCGAACTTCTTTTAAACTCCCTCATCCCATATAAATGAGTCTGAAAATGTTGAAATTGCCTTGGTATATGAACCGGAACAGGATTCAACCCTGCCGTTTCAAATCCAAAACTCAATCTGGGTTCAACAGATGGATGACTAAAATTCTTTTCTGGGTGAAAGATACCATTGTCATGCGTCAAATCACTTCCACTGCTGGCTGAATCAATAGTAGAGCTCCGCTTAGTATTGAAGCCAGGCTTTTTTATCAGACCAGGATCATTCTTGGATCCACAGTTAGATATTGATGGAGGACTGATCTGCAAAGAAAGATCAGGCATGGTGGAATCTGTGCTTCTCATTTGGTTTGTGCTAAACAACATTATGTAAGGATACACAAAGATTAGTGTAAATCAAATTAAGAACACTAAAAATTAGAGTAGGAACTGAGACAAATCGATAAAGTTGAAGCTATTAAATGAGAGAAATGGAGGAGAGCAAAAAGTAGAGGAATAAGCTGTGATTATCAAATCATGACTACTTTATTATATGCATTGTTTTTTCTAGCATATCTAGAGAAAGATACCTATCTAGTAGAATAGGTCTAGGGTTTGAATAGAGAACTGAAAGTAGTTGAACAGAGACTCGAAGGGAGTTGCAGAAGCTACCAAAACTAGTCAGATTCATAAAACACGGAGGAAAAAAGCAGTGAGTAGACAGAATTTTTGGGGATGAAGCTATCAAGAAAAGTGAGTTAAAAGTGGAAGATATGTATTTAAGGATACAGAAGAAGCATCACAGACTTTTTATTCAGTACTGAGAGAGAGAGAGAGAGAGAGAGAGAGAGAGAGAGAGAGAGTAATGGAGGAATTGATTGTGTTTCCCAGAAAACAAAAGGAGTACTGTTTACACAAAGAATATTGGAAAGAGGAACTGAGTTCCTCTCTACGTCGATGAATCATTATCTCTTAAAATTCCATAGTCCTTTTATTTTATCAGATTTTTTTATCATGGAAAAGGATTTGAGTGGCAGGCCAAAATATCCCCTACTTCAAAGTTTCCTTTATTAAACTCTTCCATGGACACTCCATTATTTCATATTCATTTGACACATGGCTACAAGCATTAATAATGTACTGTACCTTTCAATGCCATATTTGATACTTAGCCTCTGGTTTCGTTTCATTTCATTTTGTTAAAATTTTACTTTTAAATAAACGACTAATAAGTAGATAGTATTCATAGATCTTATGAAATAATTAAAATTGATATTTGATTTTGAAAAATATAATTTTAGGAGAAGAAAATAAAACCCAAAAAAAAAAAAAATTTAGTCATATTCGATTTTCATTCTTTTCAAACTCTTTTTCTACAAAATCATTTTCAACTATACATTTACACAATCAAATATTCTACACGTAAATCCAAATTTTTTTCCCTTCCTTTTAATCACACATTTTCCTTAAACACGGTTCAAAACTCTTCTTCTTCTTCTTCGTCTTCATTTTTTTTTTTTTAATAATGGACACCAAATAGGACCTAAATTAGACTCATAGAATATGAGTTAATTTATTTTTTTATTTTTTAAAAATTGTCTAGCACTAAAAGGTATACTTTACAAAACAATTCATAGAATTAGACAACTAAAATGAGGAAATTAAGCTCCTATCTGTTTCTCATTCTTTTCTCATTAAAATGAAAAATATGATCGTTATCCATCACATCAAGCCACCAAATTTGAATTTCTATCTGTTATGTGGGATCCATAACGGCTATATTTTTCATTCTCATTTTTATAAAAATGAAAAAAAAAAATCAAAATTATGTAAATAATTAGGTCTTAAACGTCTCTAAATAATCCAAGTGATACCATTTCATTTGTGCACGTATCAAGTGGTCTTCCTCAACACCAATATTCCCTCTCCGTGTCCAAATATTCGTTGGTCCACCCCACAGGACTGTCGAGGCTATCCCCAGGAGACCGAGAGTTGATATGAAAACTGAACCACATTCTCCGGCGTAAACGAAGTCCCATCACGTGACTTGTGGGCGTGACCATGTCGAGGTGACAGACTCTTTGTTCTCTTCTCTTGTTCTTATTATTCCTCCCCCCTTTGTTTTTCTGTGAATAATATATTCTTCCTTTGCCCTTAATTCGAGGAATTAGTTTTACACCTGTATGCATAAATGCAATTTACAAAATAATAGATGGATTCTTAAACTAGTTAGAATGCTCCAATGAATTATTTGTAGCATAAATTGAACATAATAAACCGTATTGAAGAAGTGATCTTCGTGTATCAAGTGGGTCTTAAGGTTATGTTAGTACATTAAACTTGATGTTTTCCTTAGATGAATGCTGACAATACTTGAATTGAAATTTTATTTACTTTGATATAATGTAAAATACTTCATCTAAAAGTTTAAATATTTAATCTTTTTTTTTTTTTTTTAAATCTTCACTATTAGGTTAACTTCGGTGCTTTGTAATAAAAAATTAAAATGAACAGTCTGGTTTGATGAAATCCTTCAAAGGCAGACCATTCAGTCTGAACAATAACAACAAACTACACCGAGAGCTGAGAGAAATGCAAGGGGCGGCTGCAACATCGTCGAACATCTCATTAGTCTTAGACCCAGCAGAAGGAGTAGCAACTGCTAGATGCGGATTGTTGCCTACGGAGATCAGCTTGTAGTAGATGATGGTATTATAGTGAATCATGATCGATAATATTAATTCTTTTATTGGTTTAGATAAATAAATAAATAAAAATTGTTGATAAAAATTCAAGTCAAAATCAATAATTAATTTTAACCATACATTTTATGGGATTCAAAACTTTTTTAACAACATATTTCATCATTTTTTTTTTAATCAAAATTTACTAGAAAACTGATTTTTAGCAAAATCAAATAGGGATTAACCTAATAAATAAAAATGTCATTAGCACTATCAATATAATATCAAAGATGGAGATGGTTTCACACTAGATTTAGATAACTAGTACAAATGACATTTTTTATTTTTTACTCCCTTAATCTACCATAATCCAATTCACCTACTAGGCTACTATGTATTCTAAATTTATACCAACTTTTTATATAATCTAATACACTAAACCAAATACAAACTTATATTATATATTTGCATCTAATATAAGTACAATCTCCTCTTTCAATTAATATTGTTGCATATCCCCATAAAATTTCATGCATCTTGCGTTCAATCAATGACAATATTTTATACAGTGTGATGAGGGAAAGGAACAAGATGAAAAGAATTGTTAATAGTTTTCCAAAGAGAGGTCAGCGACTAATGCGGTCTGGATTCTCCGGGAAATGGAAAATTTGAGCCTTATTCAACTTGTTTATTTGAGGTAAAAAAATATTCCCATCCCAATCGTGTGCTGGAATATTAAGATTTGTAATCAATCGGTCAACATGTACTCTCTCTATGGCTTACTTTCAATATATTATAAAAATGTTTAACTTTATTCCATATTCCATATGTTTGTCTTCTCTCACTATGGTTGGTGTTACTTCTAAATCTATTATTAATCAATTAGTTCGTCTTTCTACTAATTTTATTTTTTCTTCCCCATGCATTTATTGGAAGAACATGTTGTTGTTAGCTAGAAACTATAAACACGAGACAAATAATTAGTCGTATTCTAGTACTAATTTATGAAGAAGTAACGTAGAAAATTTTTCTTTATATTTTCGTGAGGAAGAAATCGTGTTTATTTATAAGCTAATGACCGCAAGCTTATAGAAAATCAGTGTTTTAAAAAGCCATCTAGGTGTGAGTGAAACGTTATGCCTTGACAATAAGCGTGAAATTAATCAATCAATTGTCAAGTTCACTGTTTAATACATGAATAGGTGCGACTAGGAGTGCTTTATTAATTTTATTTTTTTTCATTTTTTTAAAAGCCTTTTATGTGGTTTTAGTTTCAAATTTTTTCTTTGGAAATTGTATAATATACTAATTGTAGAAATTATTAATTAAATATAATATTTTATAATTTTAGATGTCCGATATTATTATTTTAATTATTTAATAATTTTTAGAATGAGCAAAAATATAAAATAATATTAAAATTAAGAAAATGCCTTTTTGCTCCTAAGACTCGCTTAGGCTTGTAGAGCCCGAAACTTGGTATCCCCGCCTATTACGCTTTACGCTTTTAGAACATCATAGAAAGAATAAAATCTCACAAGGAAACTAAAAATTATTGATTTGTGCACAAATATGTCAAGAAATAGAGAGTAATTTTAAGAAACTTATTAAGAGCTTGTTTGAGCTCCATTAAAAGGCTAAAAACGCATTTTAGAATAGTAAATTGATAGAAAATGTGTGATTAAAATACATGGAAAAGTTTTAGATTTACGTATAATATTATTTCATTGAAGAATATGTAGTTGAAAAGAAATGAGAGAAAAATATATTTTGAAAATAATGGGGATCAAACAAGGGCAAGACTCTATTATAATCAAATTCATCGAAGGTATTTCAGGCTTAAAACTCAAATTTAAAGCAATAATTAAAAATGTGATAATGACTAAACTTCTAGATAACGATTAACTCTAAATGTAATTAAATTTCTAATTTAATAACTGATCCAAAAAAACAAAAAATGCATTTTCAAAGCTCTAAACGATGGAATTTGGCTGAAACAGTTTGTACATCATAGAAGCCTGTGTGTTTTGTTTATTGGGCCATTTCCTTTCGGCGTATCATATTTTTCCACGAATTTTTCTTTTTTTTGTATTACATCAACTAATAAATAAAGTATAGGATCGATGTCTTCTTTCCTCGATCATTTGCATGTTAGACCTTGTATACAAAGATACAAGTACCAATATATAAAAATAATGCAGACAGGAGAAAAAATTTCTTAAAGAAAATGTTACTAATACCCATTAGCAGAATGAATTCACGTGTATGCTAATTATTCGAGGGACATATGTTGCTTTGAAGTTTGTTATGAGCGGCTTCTATTGTATTTGTATATACCAAGTACGCAAGAGAAGACAAGTATTAAAAGAAAGGAATCGCCTGAATAAACGCCGTTTCGATGTATGTGAACCATGAGCCACGACATATTACCACATGCAGAATAAAGGCAATACTTCTTATTTTTTATTTTTATTTTTTGTTGGTTTACCGTTTACCCTACCACAAGAGATAGCCAAGTGCATATGGACATTAGGGTTTATAATTTTACGTTTTTCTTTTATAATTCATCCTTCATAAGCTTAAAAACAAAGCAAAGAATGTAATGTAATTATCCCCTAATTTAATGCTGGGCCTACATTAGTTACTAGGTCCCAGAGATGACTCCAAAAAAATAATAAAAAAATCACGCGCCTTCTTGAGCCTAAGCCTGCATCAGGACGTCAAAAGAAAAATTGACTGTCTTTTTCACGCCTTGTCCTCATGTATAACGTTTTGGAAACACCTTATGCCTAGATGGACTTAGGCGGTGTCTTTTCACTCCTTTTACAATATTGAGAATAAGTTACCGACACATTTATTTAGTCAATCTTATATTCTCCGATTTGAATGTATTCATTCATGCGTGATAGAGCATGTTTTGGTGATTCTATATACCGATAAAATTCAATAAAATATTGATAAAAATTCTATTTTTTAAAGCTGCCAATGTTGTAAAGTCTGTCTCACTACAACTTAATAATCTTAACGAGGGAAAATTCAAGGATGTAGAAACAATTAATTCATATCTGAGCCTAATGGGTAGTTTATCGCTTTCAATGAGAGTCACTCTTGAAAGCTACGGCAGTCGAAGTGGCCCATCTTCAAGGACAAAAAGAGTTACAGAGCATAAAAATGAGTTAATGTTAAAGGAATACAAAAATCATAGTGGATAAATTTGAATGAATGAATGAATGACTGAAAAATAGGGTCGGATAATACATACAGGGAACACCCTCGTTTGCACGGAACAGTTAATGTTGTTTATGGGTTTTGCCGACATAATAAGTGCACATCATCTATTAATTTATAATAC